AAAGCTGAAAATTAACTAATTATGCAAATTAGGTGATTAATATGCACAAATATTTATCGAAAACAATCAATCTCTGCATAGTCCTTGAGTATGTAAGTACCAAGTTTCATTGAAATGTAATGCTAACTACTTATATCAAATGCTGAAAATTAATTAATTATGCAAATTAGGTAATTAATATGTACTGATATTACCATAAAAACTATCAGGTCTGTGCAGTGTCGTATGACATCTATGTACCAAGTTTCATTTGAAATGTGATGATTAGTACTTGAGATATCAGTGGAAAAACCGAAAATTTGACTAATCATTATGCAAATTAGGTAATTAGTATCCACGGATTATTACCAAAAACTAATCAAAACCTAGCATTAGTTCAGAGCATCTATGTACCAAGTTTCATCAAAATCCAATGAGTGGTTGTTTAGATATCAGTGGAACAGTCATGGAACCACTAAAAAATAGCTAATTATCATGTAAATTAGGTAATTAATATGCACGGATTTTTACCAAAAATTAATCAAATCTGCGCATATGTTCAGAGCATCTATGTACCAAGTTTCATCAAAATCCAATGAGTGGTTCTTTAGATATCAGTGGAACAGTCATAGAACAGCTAAAAATTAGCTAATTATCATGCAAATTAGGTAATTAACGAGCATGGATTTTTACCAAAACCTAATCAAATCTGCGCATTGGCCCAGAGCATCTATGCACCAAGTTTCATCAAAAACCGATGTATGGTTCTTGAGATAGCAGTGGAACAGTCGGACACACATACACACACACATACACACATACACACATACACACATACAGACATACAGACACACTAACTGCAAAGACTCCCATTTTGTGCTTCGCACATGGGAGTCAACAAATCCTGGCAGTTTTTAAAATATAGCAGCGATTCAGATGCTTATTTCTGTTCACTGCAAATTCTTGCGTATTGCACAAACTGAACAGTTGCCTCAAAATCAAATAAATTGATTTTGAATTTTGTTTTTTTTGTTTTGTCAAAATACAGATTGTTGAAGGGAGAACATTGAGAATATTGATCATCAGCATGTAAATACCACAAAATACTTTCACGTTTGTCAAATCCGAAGATATATTTTGACGTCATTATGATGCTATGATCTTTGTTTGTCCTGCTTTATGTTTGATTTCACTAATAACGCATGGTTTCACAGTGAACAGAAAATGTTTACTGTTAAAAGTACTGTTTTACACCCAAGATATGGCAGAAAATTATAAACATTGTAGTTATTAACAAATTTATTATATTTATTTTTTTATATTCGTAAAAATACCCAACCATTTCGTTTGATGCAGAGGCATGTGGCTATGGGAGTGTTATTTATAAATTACTTTTTTAAACCATTGTATCTATTTTCATACTTCTGTGTACCTTCATTATTCTGGAGATTACTGAAAACCATGTAACTATATTCAGATAAAAGCATGCTTGTACGAAGTAAATCAAACAGTACCAATGAAGAGCAACAGTTCAAAACACTTTTCACAAAAAGATAACGCAACGAGTACCTGCAGGAAACAAACACAAATCCCTGCACACCAGCTACAAAAATGTACGTTTCTAGCCTATTCTCAACCAATAACTTTGAATCTAAAATCAAACTTAGAACAAGTTTCTTTTTCAAGTGTGAACATGGTTAGTTATGGAACTGTAAGCTTCTATAATGCTAGCCGTCATAAACTGAGAAAACCGTATTTAGCACAACCATAAAAAACAGGCGTGCCTGCAGCCTTAAGACAGATTTTAATAATCCAGTATACAATAAGACAAAATAACAAGTGTGTATAACCCTAACCAATTTAT